GCCCCCAGCCTGGTTTCTGAAATGCGTGAGATGTGACATTAGCCTGCTGCTACCTCAAGGGCTTCACGGGTGGCTCGGAGGGACTGACGTGACGGCTACTGAAGTTTGCATGTGTCTGAGCCAAATGATCCTACTGTGTGCTGACAGAGGAAGTCCAGAGTTGTTCTAAACCTTCCAGCTGAGCTCCTGCAGTCCCCCGTGCCCCAGCAGTGTGGGAGGGAGGGGATGAGAGCAGGCTGGGTCTGATGCTGTGGCACAAATGCATGAGAGCCCCAGTCAAAGTCAAGGCGGTGGCTCAGCTCTTTGAGCTGGGAGGCCGAGTTGTTGCTCTTAGAAGGAAGATCTAAGGCTTGTGGGGGTGAGACTGACTTGAGCCCAAATCCTGTTCACAGATGAGCTGGGAGGAATTGTCCCTGCAGTGGGAGAGGGAAGCACTTCCAAGAGACTTAAAACACAAATGAAATTTCATGATTAGTGACTGGGTGATTGGGAAACCTACCCTTCAGAGTGAGAGAACACAGTAAGTGCTCTTCATTAAGTTGTAATTTTCTTCATTAGAATTGCCTCCCTGCTGAACAGGAAATCTGGAATTTCGTAGCTGTTGGTGTATCAGAAACATTAAGTCTTCGCCTTTCACATGACAGTGCGGGCTGGCTATGATTCTCCCTGAGTCTGCTCTATTGGGAACCTTGTTCTAACACAAGGTTATTTCCATGGAATAGTTAGAAACATTTGCAATGGCTCTTTATTTGGCCTTCTGCTCAGCTCTGGCGCAGTATCTATTTTAGGCTGTACCTGAGGATTAGACCCTGTATTAGGTGATGTCATCATTAGGAAAGCTGAACTTCCCTCCTTTTCCTAGTATTCATGTAAAGCACTGCTCTTCATGTGGATGAACAGTCTTCATGTGGTGAGTGATGAAACACTAGCAGTGTGCAGCTCAATGTTTCCTAGAATTAGGATGTGCTCTGAAGGACGTGTGCCTCTCAGCGGTGTATTTAGCTGTGGGTGTTTACAGCCTGTCTAGGGGCTTTCCCTGGTTTTGAAGCACACATGCTTCTGACCATTGCTTTCCATGACAACAGTCCTCCCTGTGCCTCTGTAGTGGTTTAGCTCAGAAGGAAGATGCCCTTTATGTGGACTGATTCATGTCTAAAGGGGTAAGATGTATTCTGGCTTCTTCACCTAGAAATTATCGATGGAAGGCTTCGTTTACCATACAACCTTGGTTTCAGGTATTTGACAATGTTTGTCTCCCTTTAGACAGCATGATCTGTACCTCAAAGGTGAAAATAAGAGTTCTGGCGTCTCAGAGAAATGTTCAGGTTCCTCACAGAGAGGGAGAGGACCTGGTTTGTGAGAGTGTTCTTGTCAAGCTGTCCTTGCCGTTATTTTGTGGCTTGTAGCTAGCATAATGCTAAACAGCAGTCAGAGGCATTCGAGCCTGATGATTGCTTTCGCTTTATGTTCCTGGTGAGGGCCATGAAAGCATCGCTGGGATGTCAGATAACTCAAAACCTGTGAGGCAAAATTTCCTCAAAGAGAGTGGGTGGAGGAGGAGCAGAGAGCTCTCTGTTTTGAAAACATCTCAAAAAAAAATCTTGGAAGGAGATCATACATCCCATTTGTGTCTTCCTCTCCAAAGAGGAAGACTTTAATCTGCATAAATTAAAACATAAATTGGCTAAATATGCTCCTTATTTGTATTACTCCCTTTCCTGAATGTTCCTTATTCGCAGGCCTCGTGATGTCCACTGAAAGACTGAGCAGACGGACATTCTTGTCTGAAGGCTTTGCTGAAGGTCACGGCAAGCAGGAATTATTCTTCCTCGGTGCTTGCCAAGCTGCGGGTCACTTGCCATTTTCTGGGTCAGGTTGTGTGCTGCCTGCGGCTTGGTAAAACGTATAGTTGGAGTGCAGGGCCAACTGAGGAGGAAGTTGAACGGCTGCATTTCACAACAAATGAGGTCTGGTCTTTCAAGAATGGGAGTAAGTATTGGACATGAGTTCAGGGAGAGCGTGACAGGAAAGAAACCAGAACAGTAAAACCCCTCATCCTTTCAGTGCCTTGTTGTTCTCCTGTGTAGAGTGTATGTACATGACTCCGAAAGAAACACCAAATCATCTGTAGTTTAACTGTGCTATGGAATTCTTATTTGCATTACACGGATGCAGATTTTTCTCTTGTAGTTTCAAGCACAACTCAAGCTTCTTGGTGTGTTATCAGCATAAAGGACATCACGGAGAACTGCTGTTGTATCACACTGTGGTAAAAGTGTCTGTTGTCCAAGGGTTACTGCACAGAACCAAGACTCTCAGCTCCTGAACTTAATTTCCTGTTTTGAAATCAACTTTGGCATGTCACAGCTGGGGCCTGTTGTTCTGAGAGCTGCTGAGCACTTGGGATTCTTCTTGAAGTCTGAGAGCTGCGGGTTATGGGCATTTCTGAAACTGCAAGCTCAATTGTGTGAAGTTACGTTTTCCACAACAGCCACTTGAAATGAATGGTCATTAAAAATTCAGCCTGAAGCTTCTCATGTCTCTCTCTGTTCAACACGTTCAGTGATTATTGTGTTTTTCCACAGCCATAATAATCAGATAATTATTGTTGAACTTTGAGATTCTACACAAAATAATGTAAATTTTGTATGCATGACAAATATCAAAACAATAGCAATTTGGCCATTCAGATGAAGAAATATAAAAGCAATTACAGAACTAAAAAGTGGTGTAGGAGGTGAAATCTAGATAAATATCAGTCAAAGGTTTGTCAAAGCAAGGTACAGCCAGTGTTTAAAGTGTTAGCCTGAGATATAGGAGATTAGATTCAGTTCCCTCCGTACTAGACTTCTGCGTGATCTTAAGCAAATAAAGTGATTGTTCTCTCCCCGTTTGTAAAATGTAGATAACACTCTTTCCTCACAGGCGTGTTGTGGGTGTAAGCACAAGAAGATTGCAAAGTTCCCAGAATATGGGAGGATAAGAATACCCTTGAATCGAGATCGTTATACATAGAGATCTGGCTGTGTAGTAGCCCTGTCTCACACGGTGCTTTCATCTCAAACTGCTTTACATCTGGCTTTGAGAGCTCAAATTTTGTTACAGAGGGTTGGAATGTACAAATCTGGTTTTCTCTGTATACTGGAGCCCACTAGAAAAAACAGTTTCCACAATAATATTGTCTCCTTTAATCCAGCAATATTATGCTAATTTTTATGCAGTTATATGAGGGAAGTAAGATTCGAAAGCTTTTGTGAAGAGCTATTTAGACTACTTGATATTATTTTTAATTCCATTCTGATCTCCTATTGTTTGGTGTTTCATGCTCGAACACTAAATTTTCAAATTGGAGAAATTTCAAGTAGCGTTTTCAGGAATATCTGGGGCCCTTTGGACCCCACGTTCACGGATATACTCTTCCTAGTAACTAGGATATTTTTAAAGATGTTTTACTTTGTGGACAGCCTGCTGCCCATCACAGCCCTCAGCCCCTCCCTCGGCTCCCAGAGCCATGGAAACCACAATCAGAAGAGGCCGGGGGTGCATGTGGCTTGGTCAGGTGTCCTCTGCCCGTCCTGACCGATGTCCAGCTGGGCTGGATGTTGCCTGCTGACGTACTTGCTCTTATTAAAAGGACTCGCTGACTTGTGGTGCTGGCACTGACAAGGTGACGGAAATAGTAGAGCCCTTGTTCAGCAGCAACCTCACACCAAAGGTGTGGTTGACAGCTCTGCGTGAGGTGGATTATGGGATGCACAAAGGATGGTTTCTCTGTGACACTTTGAGAAGAATATTTTATAGGATATTAACGCATCAGCAGACTCGATTAATCAATTCTCAGCCTTTATTTCAATATAATCATGCCTTGCCTTGCCTTGTGGCCATCTGAAATATCTATTACTTTCATACACTGCAATAGAAAAAAAGAAACTATAGGATTTTCCCTTCTAAGCTCAACATTTTAGCACAATTTTCTTCTGTTGTATATTCTGGCGGAGATGCCATTCGCAGATTTACAGTTCTAGAGCTGGAATTGCTGCTGTAATGATCAGATGTCAGCACTGAATGTGAAAAGCCCATAAAATTAGCCAAGCTGCTTTGAAATACCATGGTATAAACCCTTTACTAATGCAAATTAATCCTTTGTAAGGATAACAGTAAAAAATAAATTAAATCAGACTAACTTTATAGGTAATATGGCTTTACCTGGATAATTTTGCTAAAGGAAAGCTGCTCAGTTGCAGATAGATGCCAGGTAGCAGCCAGAGCACATCAGAGATTTCTCCTTGTAGGGGAGCATTTTGAATAAAACGTGGGGTGACCCAGAGCCGACCTACACTCAGCATCAGCAAACAAAAGCAGCTGCTTCTGCATAGAAAGAATATCCATGGTGCTGTTCATACTGCTGCACCGATGTACTGCTCACCGATTAAACCCCCCCTGTTCCCCGCTGGACGCTGTGTTGTTTGTTCCAGCAGTGCCCTCTGCTGTCCCGTAGCATTGACTGGATGGCCAAAGAGATTTTTGCCCCAAGTCTCAAGTATTTGAAATCTAGCTCTTAAAAAAAAAATCATCTACCTTTAAAAAGAGAAAGAAAAGCTATAATGATATTAAGTTGTTTTATTAATCTACAATTTACACAGTGATTTAAATAAGCAAACACAAAATATCCTGTAACGAAGGCATGAGCACAAGTGTCTTTCATTTCCTAGCTACGTTCTCATCCAAGAATTAAGGTGGAAAAAATGGCATTTTCAGAACAGCTTAGGCAATTTAAGTCTCCAGTACTATGAATCTACTGAAGGGTTAAGCCATTGTCCTGCATTTCCTTGTCTGAAAATTAAGTGAATTCAACTCATTAAATGCATCTCCTTTTTTTTTCTTTTTTTTCCCCCCTCACTTGTAAAGCATCGGAACCTCTGATTTACACAAGAGGAAGAAAGGCCGCACAATTTCAGATGTGTCCTGACAACTTCTGAGTACTCCAGTACTCGGTACGAAGATATTTCTGTGGGCCCAAGCACAAGAACATCTGTGGAGACAAGGACCCCCACCTCTTTGGGTCCCCTTTGAAGTGCTGCAGTTCATCGTGTGCTTTTTGCTTACAAGTAAGTTTGGGGTTGGTTCGGTAGATATGAGCTAACTGTGCTTAGAAAACCAGACACTGTTGGTGGCATCAGTTCGTAATTGTAAGCAAGACACAGTGAACAAGTAGATTCTGTTGTCTCTTGCTTAATCTTGAGGACTTTAGAAGTTTTGCGATGTCACTAGTGTTGATCTGAAATTAGAATTTACATCCTCACTGAACCGGTGTCCAGGTTCGTGACACAACAGTGAGTTGTGTGTCACTGTCTTTGAGATCCATCAGTCACATACCTCCCCCCCAAAACCCAAAAAATTACTTACTTCTCTCAATTTTTTGACTCTTGATCTAATTTATTTATGAATTAAAGCTGGAGTCATTCCATTTTCGAATATCCTTATAGACTTTTAAACTACTGATGTGATCGTTCATCTTCACAAGAACTGGCCAGATTTTGCTCTTGATAAAAGTTGCTTTAAGCAGATCATCTGTATAGTAGTAAATACATTTTCCACTTTTACCTGTCCTAGCAACTTAAAGGTAATTGGCTAGGACCTGAGTTGGTAACCCAAATATTTAAAAACACGAGTGGTTAAAGTTTAATCCAGTGTCATGATGATGATGTGGCAATAGATGCTGTCTGTCGGGGCTCATTCTTTGCCGGGAGAGCAAGGTGGTGGTAACGCCCACGTAGTGTGGTCTCTCACGGAATATGGGATGAGAAAAGCAGACCTCGTTACCAGTTGAAAGCAGGATTTTCCACCATGAATGGATACCCCAACTGCTCTTCTAACTACACCGAAATCTGGAGTCATTACTTAGTACTTGCACTGGGCATCCCTCAGCTGACCATTAACATAGCATCTGTGATCTTCAACTGCACGGTCATCTTCACCAGAATGGCAACAAAGGATCTGCACAAGCCTATCTCTATCCTCTTCTGCAACCTGGCGTTTTCCGATCTCTTCACCAGCTTTTCTGGCTTTTGGATTTCAATGTTGTTCATCACCAATCCTGACATTACAATCTTTGGATCCAAGGATATGCTCGCACCTTACGCCTTATATACCGTGTCTATTTTATCCACCATCTATAACTTGGTAAGCATTGCAATTGAACGTTATCTGGCTGTGGCTGAAAGCATGAGGACAAGATTCAGGGTTGCTAGAAACCAGTCCATAGCTGCAGTTTTAATTAACTGGGTCCTTGCTTTCTTTTTGGGCTGCTTGCCATTGATGGGGTGGAACTGCTTGCATATGGAAAAAAATCTCTCTGTCCTCTACAGTCCATTTTGCGTCAACTACCTCATCTTCATCGCCATTCCCAATGTTGTGGTGGCTTTTATTGTACCCCTGTTCACTTACCTTAGAATCATTATCATCTTGAGGAAAAGAAAGCTGAGGATGAAAGCATGTGGACAAGCTACTGGCACCTACAAATCAGCTGAAATCCAGGTTGCCAGAACCAGTATTTTTATCTGGCTCCTGACGTTGATCTCCTACGCTCCTTTTTTCGCAGGAGTCATATTCGATGCCACTAACCATCAGTGCCACATCGATCTCTACCCAGGCGTCTACATCTTTCGAAACTGCACAGCGATGCTGATAACCATGAACTGTTTGGGAAACCCCATAATATACACCCTGAAAGCCAAAACTCTGGGGGCTAAACTCAAGGCTCTGAAATGCCTCTCCACCAACCGTGTCCGAGCCTGCACGGTGGAGAACATCTAGCCGGGACCTCCCTTGGTGCAGGACTGCTGCTATCCCCGCCACAGGCCGTGTAGTCAGAGATCAGCGATAGCGCCCGCAATCCCGCCCGCTCTCGCCGCTTCAGCACCCCGCGGGCGGACAGCTCCCGGGCGCGGAAACCAGCGCGGGGCGCGGAGTT